AAGAATCTTCCAAACCCACAAATAGTATTTTTGTATGGTAGATCCAAATCAACAACTGTGGGATGGATTCATCTGTCAACTCCCCAAGAGAGGATGCTACGTCAAGTTGCGCCCCTTTGCTGGGAATTATTCATATAACCCCACCATCACCAGACCTAGGGGATGGTCTCCAGTGTCTGAATGTGCATCAATTATAGTATTACAGGCTACTGATTAGTTCACCATTGACTGACTATGACACTTAGGTATCTATTGGATAGTACCTAAAAGCAACTTTTGGCTATGTGGAACCAACCTTTGTCCCTAGCTCCCACTAATGCCCTATTGGAAGATGTACTGTGGGCCTGACCTAGACTCAAGGACATATTTTAACTGAACTCTCTTTACCAGCTAACGTAGTCATATCAAGAGCTTGACGTTATCAGTGTTTCATTGGATTAATCGTCTAGTGGTAGTATTCTCACCTCTGATAAGAATGAAGATGTTAGGGGACATATAGAAATATTAACCTAATATATACAAACTGCCCTAAATGATAGTGTCCACGGGCTTCTGGAGATGAATACCAAAATGGCATTGATAAGAAAAGTAGTACTCCAAAATAGATTGGCCCTTGACATTCTCACTACAGCCCAAGGAGACACCTTTGCAGTAATAAAATCTAGTTTATGTTCCTGACAGTAGTGCTAATATTATACTCTATGTTAGTCATTTGCAACATATAGTATCTCATTGGGACAATCCTGTTCCTTCCATAACTGATATAAATAATTTATTTTCTTTCTGGAATGAATGGCATAGCACATTACTACTACATTTTGTAGTCTTTATATTTCTCATAATCTCTTCTATTATAATTAAAAAATACTGTTTTGTTTTGGTTTAATATATTTTATCCATGAAATGCTAAAACCATTTGACCCTTCACATAAAATCATGCTGGTTTCTTAGGCTTTCACCAATGATCATGTTGTTCAATCAATTCCCTTTTGTGTTCCTGGGTATGTTTCATCTTTAACTCTATCATTCTTTCCTGAATGAGATATATCTCTTCCTTGAATGTGGCCTTGTTTGTTAAGATGTTCCCCATAAAGCCTACTGACTCTGAAGATGAGGCCTATTAGCTAGCAAGATGAAGAAAACAATTCTTATTAACCAAAGTTCCTCAGGAAATCAGAAAAAGTCCTTTCAGAAGAAGTCTACTCACTGTAGATGATCAATGCCCAGTAGTGTTAAAACAAACCAAACTCACTGCCATCGAGCCAGATCCGACTCATAGCAATCCCTTCTTGGGTTTCTGAGGCAGTATCACTACAGAAATAGAGTGCCCAATCTTCCTTCTGAGGAGTGGCTGGTGGGTTTGAACCACCGGCCTTCTGGTTAGCACTCAAATGCTTTAGGTACTATGGCTTTAGGTACTATTCTCCCCCCACCCCCATAATACTTTAGGTACTAGGCTTTAGGTACTATTCTCCTCCACCTCCAGCCTAGCTAGGATTGATCAAAAGGGAGAAATGTAAACAAAAAGTTTCAAACTGGAAGCACTTAAGTCAGACATAAGAAAGAGGGACCAACATGCATTCACAGGAAGCAAAAGGTCAGGATGTAAATAATTTGCTTATGGGAAGAATGTTTCAAGATATAAACAATTTATTCCCAGAAAAATATGGCTGCTGATAACTGTCTCCCTCCTTGCCAAGTGGATGGCCTTTACATTTCAAAGCACTTCAAGCTGATCTTACCTATAATCAATCACTAACACCCTACTTTTCCTTTGTTCTCTATGTACATAGATCCCTCTCTCCACTTGAATGGTGGAGAGCTGTATTATTCCTCAATAAAATTCTATTTCTTTCACTCCTAGCAGAGTATGAGATTTTCTTCTTTGATAATAGTGATTTTTTTTGTTTGTTTGTTTAAGAGTGAAAGTTGTTCTTAATCAAGATCACAAATTCAGGATTCATTTAGAAAAAAATTTTTTTAAAAAAAGCCTTACATATATTGAGGGAGCTCTGGTGGTATAGTGCCTAAGGCATTTGACTGCTAACCAGAAGACTGGCAGTTCAAACCCACCAGCCACTCCTTGGAATAGTATCTAATATATAAAAGTGAAGGTTAAAAAATGCTAATTAAAATACTGGATAATCTACTTTCATAGAGACACTGCCTTGGAAACCCAAGGAGGGGTCTCTTTGAGTTGGAATCAACTTGACAGCAGTGAGTTTTTGCATATATTGAATGCTAATGTATGCCAAGCATAGTTTTAAATGCATTTCAACTAGTAACTCATGTATTAATCCCTACTGCAACACTATGAGGAAGGGTCATTTTACAGATGTGAAACAGAGACACAGAAAGCCTGAGTATCTTATTCAAGGCCACAGAGATAAAGTGGCAGAATTAGGGTTTGAGTCTGGGCAGCATGACTCCAGAATTCATGGTCTTATCCACTCTACTTTTCATATACTTGGAAGATTTGCCTCAAAAAAAATTTATTTGGGGTACGGTGAAAGATACTAAAGGTATAGAGCAAAAGACAGAGGAAATAAAGTATTAATTTCCTTAATATACAAAGAGTTTCTAGAAATGAAAAAAGAAGAGCTCCAAAGAATATGCAAAGGCCATAAATAAGCAATTTAAAGAAGGAATATAAAGGGACAATAAATATATAAAAGATACTAAAAATGCACTATAAAGAAATGCAAATTAGACCAACAATACCATGTTTTTGCTGTTATATTGGGAAAGAAAGTGGAGAATACTATTCTGGTTAAAATGCAAATTGTTGGTGCAGGGCTTGTGGCAATTTGGTAGCATCTATCAACGTATAGAATGCTTATCTCCTGACCCTAAAGTTTTACTTTAGGAATGAAGTGTGTGGGGGAAACAAACAAAAAACCTAATATGTAAAAGTGAAGGTTAAAAAATGCTAATTAAAATACTGAATAGAATGACCAATTATGGTAGTTCTATTACAGTGGTCTATTTAGCCAGTCATTAAAGATAATTAGAATGATCTAAATATCATATTTTGACTTGAAATTATGTTCATGGTGTTCATGTATATAGCAAAACACCTAGAAAAATGGTCATTACACAGTTAGCAAATGCCTTTCTAGGGTAGAATAGGAGACAAGAAAAGAGTGGACATATTCTTACTTTGTATATACCTTTTATTAAAATGGTGAGATTATGGGTAGTTTTTAGTTTATTTATTCATATATTTAATATAAATATCTTGGGGTAAGTAAGTACACACTCAAAAGAAAATTAGTTCAACATGTTAACAGGATTATGCTTGATTTACAGGGTTACTTGTTAAAAGGATGTCTTCTTTTTCTTTCTATTCCTTTGTATCTATTTCCTATTTGCTACTTTTGCTAAACCTTTGGCTAGTGTGTTCAACTATTTCCATTTCTGTGATTTGTTTTTCTTTGAATAATAAGTTGTGTATGTGTGTGTTTTCCAGTTTCTTCAGTTTTGTAAGAAAAATACTGATTTGATTACTATTGGAGTAAGTTTTGTCTGTTATAGACAAAGCATGTTTTCAGACATCTTGACTCCCTTTTATAAAACAGAATTCTCATCCCCCAACTACCTCCCACAGCTTATAAGATTTTTTCTTTCTACTTTCTGTTGACATAAAATATGTTCTCAAAAAAACAAAACTAAGATATAAACAAAAGGCTAAATAAATTAGCCTTCTTAGCATTCTTCATAACAGAGTAATGAGTTAATAAGCTTGATGCATTAATCATTCAAGGATTGATTGGAAAATCCATCTTCAAAGAGATGGAACTTCCAATCAATCATTGTTTGATTGTTAAAAGATAATAATGGAGATATAAATTAGAATTGATTGCACTACGAGCCTGAGGTGTAGGAGGTATTTAACTAGTAATATCTGTATAGCTTTGTTAGGAACCCTGGTGTTGCAGTGGTTAAGCATTCAGCTATTAACTAAAAACATTTATGATTCCAACCCACCAGCCACTCTTCTGGAGAAGGTTGTGGCAGCCAACTTCCGTAAAGATTACAACTTTGGAAACACTATGGGTCAGTTTTACTCTGTCTTTTAGAGTCCCTATGAGTTGGAATCAACTTGTTGGTAAAGGATAGCTTTGTTGTTTTTAGCTGGAGAAGCATGGTGATAATTTTATGACATGAAGGAAAAAATAGAACATAGAAGAAAACCAACTGCTAGTGCTGATGTTGAAACTAGAAAGAGAGAATGAAGATATCTAAGAAAGTGAAGATTCTTAGAAAATAGAATTTGAGATAACTTAGGGTGATATCACTTACTGAGATAAATTTATGTACTATAAACACATTTCTTGGGGTATATTTCATGGAACAAAATCCCACAAAATAATTTACAGGGGGAAAAGTTTTGCAAATATTGCCTGTTATATTTAGTCTTTTAAGAATTACAGTGTTAATTAGCATATTAAAAACTTCATGAAGTCCTCCAATAAAGAAATCTGTTTAACATTATTTAACGCAGTGTTTTCCAAATTTACTTGACCTTAGATTCTTTTTCTCATGCAATCACCTATTAAAAAACATCTCACAGAACAGTATTCCTTAGAACACTCTCTGGGGAGTGCTATATTAAGGTAAAAATGTAATAAATGTAAAAATTTTTTAGTGACAGATGGTATTTTTTAACAACTTTATAAATTCAGTCCTTTATCAATTAAAATGTTCAGCCATTTATATGTACATTCTATGAAACTCATAAGCTACAGTACTATTTATGAATTTGTAGATTTAAGTCTATCGCAGACTGCATCTCCTTCAAATAACAAGAGTCTCCACAGTTTTAATGCAAGGAGTTGGTACAAGTCTTTTTACAAGTATAAATAAGCAAACACTTCTTTGCATTTTACAAGCTAACAGACCTCAGTTCTCTCAAATTTAAAAAGTGAATAACTACTGTGTCTTCACTATTAGGGATGAGAAAACAAATTACAGTCTTGCTCCTCAGGTTAGAACATTACCTGTACTAATGATATCTTCTGGCAGCTCATCTCCACAGTATCTGAAAGAGAATTTTTAAAAAGAGAAGTCACATGTATGAATATTATACAGCTATTGCAAGCAGCCCTTCCGAAAAACCAAAACCAAACACACTGCCATCGAGTTGATTCTGATTCATAGGGACCCTGCATTGGGTTTCTGATGTTACACATCTTTACAGAAGTAGATTGCCCTGTCTTCCTTCCGTGGAGTGGGTGGTGGGTTTGAACTGCCAACCTTCTGGTTAGCAGTCAAATGCCTTAGGCACTATGCCACCAGCGTGCCTTACTGATAATTAAATGCTTTATTTCCCTAAGTAAAGGCTTATTTTTTTTTCACTTTTTATTGCTTTCTTTGTAATGGAGAAGAGAGGTTAAGATCAAATTTGTTGTTTGAATTAACCTTCTCACCATATGAATGGGAGTCTTAAGAAAGGATGTATGGCATTTCCATGTTATGTAGTTCCATAACTATTTATGTAATGGATAACTTGAATGTACTTGGAAAAATAAAAAAAAATTGTTTCTGATTAAAACAAATTGTCTTCATAGTTAAAGGAGAATGGATGTATGGTTGGTGGTATTAATATTCTGAATCCCAAGGTGGGGTAACTTGAACATGGAAAAATTATGTGGACCTTACAGACAAAAAATTGTTCGATTTTTATCTGAATCATGGCTTTAAAGGAACTCCCTCATGTATTATATAAAATATAAGGGAAAATATCAGTTTTTAAAACATAATTCATTCCAAAGAAGAAAAGTCTACTATAAAGGTAAATTACATCACATAAATCTAACAAATAACTAGCCTGTTGAAAATCATCACCCCCTGCAAAAAAAAAAAAAAAAATTTTACTATTTTATGTAGGAGTGTAATTGATTTTTTTTGAAACTAGGTTTAAAACATCAAAACCTAAAAATGTTATCCTAATTCCCAAGGTAAGAGATTCACTCTTTCAAAAAAATACCTTATTCTTCATTCTTCCAAACCTACTTGTGACTTTTTTTTTCAATCGTGATTTGGGTGAGAATTTACAAAGCAAATTCATCTTCCATACAGCAGTCCACACAAACCCTGTTTCATGACATTGATTACAATCCCCATAATGCAACAGCTCTCTTCCCACTTCCTTCCTGTGGTCACCATTTCCCTTTTACTTCATGACTTCTTAAAACTATTTACAAGAATTATTTATATTTCTTCCCTTACCAGTATTCTGTAAGCTAAAGAACGAAACAAAACAAAAACTACTTTCCCTCCAAAAATTGCCTTTTTTTAATTTACAAGTTTCAAAATCAACATAAAAAGCTGTTAAATATATCATTTTTAATTGTCTCTACTACAAAATCTTTCTATTAAATTACTATCATGGATAATAGAAAATTGATAACAGTCTGAAGTATGGGTTAAATGGAGACTTAACTATATAAAATACCTAATAGTCTTCAATTTTGCAGTATTTTTAAGGCATTCAAAATTTTAAATTTATTAACACTAAGACTTGAGATGGGAATACAAAAAGACTGTGAACCAGTGTGGTGAAAACCCAAAAGAAAATATTGAAGAAGGCAGCACTTGTTCTTTATAGCATTGTTGTTGTTATGTGCCGTGGAGTCGGACCGACTCATAGCGACCCCCCCTTGGGTTCCCGAGGCGGTATCACTATGGAAATAGATTGCCCAACCTTCCTTCCAAGGAGTGGCTGGTGGGTTTGAACCCCAGCCTTCTGCTTGGCAGTCAAGTGCCTTAGGCACTATGCTACCAGAGCTCACTTCTTTATAGAATAGAAACCTATTTTTAAACATATCTTTTAATTGGTTCTTTAGCTAAATTAGGGAGCTCTGCTGGCATAGTGGTTACAGCATTAGATTGTTAATCAAAAGGCTAGTACTTTGAATCCACCAGCCATTCCACAGGAGAAAGATGAGGCAGTCTGCTTCCGTAAAGATTTACACCCTTGGAAACTCAAATGGAGCAGTTCCAGTTTGTGCCACAGGATCGCTGTCAGTCAGAATCGACTTGAGGGCAGTGGGTTTGGTTTAGATTTAGCCAAATTTATTGAGAAAAGGTACTCTACTTTGCTTATTTACCTCGCATCCATAATGCTTAGCAAATGCTTTGTACATGGAAGAAAGATAATAATTACTGAATTTATAATCATTTTAAAGAGAATGACAGAAATTAAAATGCTTGAAAACCCCAACAAACTTTCCAATTTACACATCTCTTTTCCTTCTATTATTAGCCAAATCATGAGGCTTTTATAAATAGATGATTTAACTAATTCCTATAACTTACAAAAAATAAAAACCAGCCTCACTGCTATCCACTCCTAATGACCCTTCCTCGGATTTCTGAGGCAGTATCTCTACAGAAGTAGATTGCCCAATCTTTCTTCCGTGGAGTGGCTGGTGGGTTTGAACCACCAGCCTTCTGGTTAGCAGTCAAATGCCTTACACACTACACCACCAGGGCTCTCTCTTGAAACTTAGCAATAATTAAAGGACAGCTACCAAAACAAAACTCAGTACCATCGAATTGATTCCGACTCATAGCAACCCCCACTGGGTTTCCAAGGCTGTAAATCCTTAGGGAAATATACTGCCCCACCTTCTTTCCACAGAGTGGCTGGTGGGTTTGAACCACTGACCTTCTTTCTGGTTAGCAGCCAAATGCCTTATCCATTACACCACCAGAGTCTTCAACCCCTTCTTAGGTTTCCCAGATGGTATCTCAATGGAAGTAGATTGCCCAGCCTTCCTTCCGATGAGCGGCTGGTGGGTTTGAATGGCCAGCCTTCTGGTTAGCAGTCAAATGCCTTAGGTACTATGCCCCCAGAGCTCCCCTTTAAAGGACAGCTAGTACTATTTTGGAGTACTATTTTAATAAGTACAGGTAGCAGCAGCTATGACTTACCATGTTAAGAAAAATTTTAAGTCTAAAAAATCTTTCTTAAAAAGCTATGGTGTTATAGGAGTGTAGAAATACTAGAAAATTAATATTGTAGGGACGTAGTGCAACGCAATGCACTGCTGTGGAGACAATGGGGTAAAATTAATCAAATAACATCAAACAAAATTCCAGATGTTCATTTAACTTCTTGTATGGGGAAACCACACGTACCTTCCCACAAAGCCATGGACATCATCGTAACTGTCATATATCTCGACATAGTCAGCCAAACAAGCTATATCATCTTCAAGGTCAAAGTCCAAAAAACTCAGGTGAATACGCTGACCATACTTGAGTCTAATGTGCCAATAGCAGATTTGGTTATCTTCATATTCATTTGGGAAGCCTGGAGATTTAAAAATTCGTCTTGGATCTGTAAAGACACCACCACACTCCTTTGCTGAAATGGGGGGAAGGTGGAGGAGAAGAAAGAGTATTAGGAAAAAAGAAAAAGAAAACTTTGTCTTAACATGATATTTACATTTTAGTTTCCATGTATTTATTGCTATTTGTGCCATAGTAAAGAATTGGCGCAATATATTCTTGATATGAAAGAAAGGCCTGGAAACCTACTTCCAAAAACTCAGTCATTGAAAACCCTGTGGAGCACAGTTCTACTCTGTCATGCTTGGGCTTGCCAAGAGTGGAAACAGACTTGCTGGCAACTGGTATATACTATAGTAAGTAACTTATTGCTAAAGAATAAATGTATTCTTTCTTATTTTATTGTGATTTGGGTGAAAGTTAACAGAGCAAATTCATTTTCTATATAGCAGTTCATATACATTTTGTTTCATGATATTGACTGCAATTCCACACAATGTAACAGCTCTCTTCCCACTTCCTCCCTGTAGTTACTGCTTCTCTGTGTCCTTCTTTCCTATGCATTCCTACCCCCTGGGCTATCTCTCTAATCAAATAGTGCCCTTCTGTTCTCCTGTGCTTGATTCTTTCTAAGGAATGTATCAGTGTTCACCCTATATGCCTGTCTATTGTTTGGTTGGAAGCCACAGGAGTGAGTTCAATTCCAGACCTGAAGGGTAACTAGGGGCCATAGTCTCAGGGATCTCACCAGGTCCTATCAGACCTGTAAAGCTGGTCATTTTTTTATGATTTTTGAGTTTTGTTCCACATTGTTCTACCACTCTATCCAGGATCTCTGTACTGATTCCTTTCCTAGTGGTTGACAGTGGTAGCTAGACACCACCTCATTCTTCTAGTCTCATGGTCATATAAGCTAAGTTTTGCATGGTCCACCAGTCCCTCAGACTAATTGTTTCCATGCATCTTTGGTTTTCTTCATTTAAAGAATATATACATTTTTTTTTTTAAATTTTATTTGGATTTGGGTGAAGATTTACAGAGTAAATTCACTTTTCATACAGCAGTTCACATATACTTTGTCT